GGCCAGCAGGAGCTTCCTCTACGGCTGGGAAAGACTTGTGGTCCCGAGGACGCCTGTAGGAACATCCCTCACATGGTTTGTCTGTGATCCCAGTGAATCTGCACTCAAGCTCAGTCAAGCTTTGGTCGTTCTGAGAGTCACAAAGCAGGATGATCCAGACTATTGGCCAACAGAATATGAGTCATAGGTTCATAGAGAGTGAGCGTCACAGCTGTCTCCACCGTCTCACAGCTCTGCCTGTGTGTTCAGGGCTCCTCGAGCATGAAGTAAATGGTTTTGATGCTGCAGTGTTTGTCTCAAACAAGTTTCCTCTGACTGAAGTGAGCGTTTCTGTTTGCACAGCCAGACATTTGGGTATAATTCACTTTGTGAATATATAGTTTTAAGGATGATTCCTTTAAAAACATCCTCGGGATGAATCGGGCTCGGCTGTGGTTGTGGGTGAATAATTGTGGCAGCAGAGGCGCTGCTTGAAGTGTAGGTTCGTCTGCACCTTCGTATTCGCCACACTCTTAGCGCCCGACTCCCCTGAAGCCCGTCACAGGTTTGATCTCAGCCTGTTCTCCGTGTGATAAATGAAACACACTGTCAACCTTTAAAACCTCGTGCTATAATAAACTCTTATAAACCGTGTGGCGCCTCCTCACCGAGGCCTCGCGTCTCCTTTCTTCACCCACTAATTGATGTGACAACATTAAACAGGCTGAGGTTACGAGCGGACGTTGCGATGCAGCTCATTACCCCGCAGGCTTCGCTTCTTTCTTCCCTCCGTCTCAATAAAGCACAGCTCGTGATCACAGACACTCCTACAAACATTGTCGCAGCTCATTTTCTGCATTCCTTCATCGGTTGGAGGGAAACGAGCGGCGTAGCTCGTGGGAAAAGAAAAGCACCTTTAATTTTTCCTGAGACAGATCGTTTGGCTTCATCTTTATGGAGCCATACGAGGAGATGTTTCTCATCATTCTCGTTAATCATCTTTGTCACCCTTCCAGAGACCAATTAATCGGATGTGACAGGCGCTCTGGATGGGTATGTAAATAGCCCCCACACCAGACACATTGTATTAGCGCAGAGCTCAGTTGGCCTTTCTCGCTCTGTTTGCGTGTGCGCCGTCTGTAATTACCATATCCTTTCACCACAGTCCTGGCAGCGTTTTGATAAGA